AATGCCTCTACTCCAACGCCTGGTCCCACAGCCAGGTCTTCAGTTGTTTCCTGAAGGACAGGAAGGAGGTGGCCAGCCTGATGTACTTAGGGAGGGAGTTCCACAGATGGGGGGGCCACTGCAAAGAAGGCCCTTTCTCTTGTTCCCACCAACCGCATTTGCGAGAGTGGCGGGATCGAGAGCAGGGCCTCTCCTGACTATCATTAAGCTGTGTGATGGTTCATAGCAGGAGATCCTTTTGGATATGAGAAACTTAACCTACTGTATATACCAGGGGTCCTCAAACTAAGGCCCGGGGGCCGGATGTGGCCCTCCAAGGGCATTTACCCGGCCCTCACTCAGGTCAACCTATGTCTGTAACGACTTGAAAGCTCACAACAACAACAACAATCCTATCTCATCAGCCAAAAGCAGCCCACACTTTCCCATTGAAATACTAAGTTTATATTTGTTAAAATTGTTCTTCGTTTTTAATTATTGTATTGTTTTTAAAGTTTTTGCACTACAAATAAGATATGTGCAGTGTGCATAGGAATTCATTCGTTTTTTTTCAAATTATAATCCGGCCCTCCAACAGTTTGAGGGACTGTGACCTGGCCCTAGAATCATAGAATCAAAGAGTTGGAAGAGACCTCATGGGCCATCCAGTCCAACCCCCCGCCAAGAAGCAGGAATATTGCATTCAAATCACCCCTGACAGATGGCCATCCAGCCTCTGCTTAAAAGCTTCCAAAGAAGGAGCCTCCACCACACGGGGCAGAGAGTTCCACTGCTGAACGGCTCTCACAGTCAGGAAGTTCTTCCTCATGTTCAGATGGAATCTCCTCTCTTGTAGTTTGAAGCCATTGTTCCATGTCCTAGTCTCCAGGGAAGCAGAAAACAAGCTTGCTCCCTCCTCCCTGTGGCTTCCTCTCACATATTTATACATGGCTATCATATCTCCTCTCAGCCTTCTCTTCTTCAGGCTAAACATGCCCAGCTCCTTAAGCCGCTCCTCATAGGGCTTGTTCTCCAGACCCTTGATCATTTGAGTCACCCTCCTCTGGACACATTCCAGCTTGTCAATATCTCTCTTGAATTGTGGTGCCCAGAATTGGACACAATATTCCAGGTAAAGTGGTCTAACCAAAGCAGAATAGAGGGGTAGCATTACTTCTTTAGATCTAGACACTATGCTCCTATTGATGCAGGCCAAAATCCCATTGGCTTTTTTTGCCGCCACATCACATTGTTGGCTCATGTTTAACTTGTTGTCCACGAGGACTCCAAGATCTTTTTCACACGTACGCCCATTCTGTATCTTTGCATTTCGTTTTTCCTGCCAAAGTGGAGTATCTTGCATTTGTCACTGTTGAACTTCATTTTGTTAGTTTTGGCCCATCTCTCTAATCTCTAATCTGTCAAGATCGTTTTGAATTCTGCTCCTGTCCTCTGTTTAAAAAGTTTGAGGACCCCTGGTTTAGGGCTTTAAAGGTTCTATTATAACATATATAATGGAATATAATAATATATTATATATTACTATGCACTATGATTTTGAGACTATGTGCTTTGTTTTTAACTGCTTATTTAAATATATTTAAATGCACAATGTATTTTGTATTTTTTTTTATGTCTTAATGTGGCATTGAATTTTTTGCCTGTTTGGAAGCCGCTCTGAGATAGGGGTAAAAATTACAGTAAATAAAAAAAACAAATAAAAATGTTTTAAGACAGGAATGGGCCAACTTTATCAGCTGTTAGAATTGTGGGAGTTGCAGTGCAAAACTCCTGGAGGGAGGGCTGAAGTTGGCCCATGCCTGCTTTAAGTGAATGTCTACATTCAAGCCCTTTTTTGTAAATAGGCAATTTTGTATTAAATGAGTTTGTAAGCTGCCTTGAGTCTCCTGGTTAGTGATTTAACACGATTAAACTAGATTTGGCTCTGATTTGTTTCCTTGTAGAGATCAGCAAATCAAAGCAGCCCAGGAAAAACTAAACAAGAAGTAAAAGCAAGTTGCTTCTTTCTTTCTCTCTCTTTCTCTGTCTCCCTTTCTCTCTCGTTCTTCTTATTAGCCCAGGAAAACCACCTACTCCTTGAAGTCTCCCGGAATCAGGCCCAATGCGGGCAGGCACGGCTCCACTTCGGGCACTCTGCGGGGCCACCCCACCCCTCTGGAGAAGGAGCCCTACAAGATCAGCTTCAGTCGCATCACGGAAGCGGAACAGGAGTCTGCGGCCTCGGCCCCCACCTCCCCAGTCGTGCCGTCCACTCCGCCCGTCTCGGCCTCTTCGGACGTGTTCCTAGACAATGACCTCAACAGCTCTTACGGTGTGTGTCTCAGGGGCTTCCTCTTTATTGAAACTAAAAAGGGAACAATTTGTGTGCTGAGGAAGGGAGGACGGAGGAGGACAAAGTGTCCTCTACTTCCACAGCAGTCAAGTTTCTTCTTACTGGTGGGTTTTATTGGGCTCTTGTGCTTAGGCCTTAGATCAGGCATGGGCCAACTTGGGCCCTCCAGATGTTTTGGCCTTCAACTCGCACAATTCCTAACAGCCTACCGGCTGTTAGGAATTGTGGGAGTTGAAGCCCAAAACACCTGGAGGGCCCAAGTTGGCCCATGCCTGCCTTAGATGTCCACACTGCCAGTAACTCCAAGCCCATTTTCCTCTTGTTTCTCTCCCCGCCACCCTCATTAATACAGCCAGCCCTCCCCTTTCCTGAGGTTTAGAGGCACAGGGCCCTCATGAAACTGAAAAATTGGTATTTTATTTATCACTAGATGGCCTTAAGTATTTTCTATTGGTCATGGGGGTTCTGTGTGGGAAGTTTGCCCCGATTCTGTCATTGGGGTTCAGAATGCTCCTTGATTGTAGGTGAACTATAAATCCCAGTAACTACAACTCCCAAATGTCAAGGTCTATTTCCCACAAACTCCAGCTGTGTTCATATTTGGGCATAAGGAATATTCGTGCCAAGTATGGTCTAGATCCTTCATTGTTTGGGACCACAGTGCTCTCTGGATGTAGGTGAACTACAACTCCCTAACCCAAGGCCTATGCCTATCCAACCCTTCCGGTATTTTCTGTTGATCGTGGGAGACCTGTGTGCCAAGTTTGGTTCAATTCCATCACTGGAGGAGTTCAGAATGCTCTTTGATTGTAGGTGAAGTATAAATCCCAGCAACCACAACTCCCAAATGACAAAATCATTTTTTTTTTGAGTGATGGTCACTCCTTGGGTTAGTAGGTGTCTTTTGACCTAATGTGGTCTCAATTCATCCTATGGTTTTTGAGTTATGTTAATTCCACAAACGAACATTACATTTTTATTTATATAGATATCAGAAGCGAACCAAGGGTACAGTTGTAATGTATATTCAAAAACACATACACAAAGTTTGAAAAATTGGCATTCTATTAAATGTCCTTTGACCAGTAGCTGACCACTTGGAGTGCCTCTGGTGTTGCCTCAAGAAGGTCCTCCATCGTGCATGTGGCAGGGCTCAGGTTTATTTATTTATTTATTTATTTATTTATTTTATTTCCGTCACTTTTACCCCGCCCTTCTCACCCCCGGGGGGGGGGGGGGGGGACTCAGGGCGGCTTACAGAGGAAGGCACAATTCGATGCCTTTGTCACATATACATACATATATAAGCAAATTAAACAATTACAAATTAAAGATTATAAACATCACTACACAACAATACAGTAACACAGTAGTAGACTAATCCTGAGCTCAGCGTTCGGAGTTTCGTAAATCCCTTCCGTCTCGTCAAATTCCAGCTCGTCATCAGGTCTTTTTTAGCTGCCAGGATGTCCAAATGCCTGGTCCCATATCCAGGTTTTCAACTTTTTCCTAAATGAAAGAAGGG